AAGATAAACCAGCCAACCCATGTCACTAATAGTGGCAAAAACTGATTTGAATATTTATTTTACACTGTGGAGTAAAGTCGACAACGACAATAATATGATGAACACTACTAAAAATGACAAGTGATACTATAATGTAAAAGATATCATTAAATATGTGATGATTAAACGTATCAAGAAAGGAATATTCAATTCGAACAAGTAGTAACCATTTTTTTTTTTTTTTTTTTTGGCAAAAGTTCAAACACCTAACCTGTTAAGCTGTAACTAATATGCCTTAATTAATACTAATATAAATTATTATATATACCACTTAATTGTTCCCTTTTCACGTGAGTTGTCCAACAAAAACATATATAATAGATGACACAATAATTAAACGAATAATGTTATTTTATAGTCGTTCACTATCTCAATCGCCCTACGTAATATACATGTGACGATAAGTGATTTGATGCATCCATTATATGTATGCCACGTAGGGCGACTGCGACAATAAATGACTGCAAATAACATTACTCTAATTAAATTGCCAACAGTGCCCCCATACATTCATACCATGTTGACCGTGTTATTTTTTTCTCTTTTTAATTCACAAGATGCTGCATAATTGGTACCAAGTAATTTGTACTTTGCAAAATGCAAAAATGTAAAAGTTATTTACCATTACATAATTTATGCAAAATATGCATATTCTTAATAGAATTACTGAAGAACTCTGTGAGGGGGGGGGGGGGGGAGGCCCATTATATGTATGCCACGTAGGGCGACTGCGACAATAAATGACTGCAAATAACATTACTCTAATTAAATTGCCAACAGTGCCCCCATACATTCATACCATGTTGACCGTGTTATTTTTTTCTCTTTTTAATTCACAAGATGCTGCATAATTGGTACCAAGTAATTTGTACTTTGCAAAATGCAAAAATGTAAAAGTTATTTACCATTACATAATTTATGCAAAATATGCATATTCTTAATAGAATTACTGAAGAACTCTGTGAGGGGCATGCCCTTGGTTTCTACAACCCTAGAGTAGATTAAAATCCACGAAAGAGCTTCCTTATTACTAATTCTCGTAGGATTACACAACAAAACTCTATGAATACATGGTTCATCTCATTCTAGTATGTCCTCTTAGATATTTATTTCCTTCCGTTATGCCTTTTTAGACATAACTTTTTATTTATTATAGATGAGGCTCGTATGATTTCGAAGTTGTCACTTTACATTTAGTTACACATATCTAGTCACGGTACTTTCTGCATACATCGTTAAAGCCCAATATTATTATGTACAGTTTCATTCGAAGAGATAAAACACTATATGGTTCTATGTTCTAATAATTTGGAATACTTCTGATACGAGACGTGGCCATTTATATGTTGAGAAATGCAAGTTAACAAACAGTAAGCACTGGTTCTAGATATTTGCGTCTTAAAGAGAAAACGTTGAACTCATGTCACGACTAAGTTCGATATTCGATATTCTGTTTTTATTTACATTTTTGCAAGTGCTAAAGCATTTTTAAGAAACTTTTTATTAAAAGAGTCTGTTTTAATTAGGCTCATATAGACTTATCATTTTAAAGTAAATGGTGGATTTGACTCTCTATATTTTGAGATCAAATTCATTCCCTATTTGCCTATATATATATATACACTCTCGATTATGTTCAATAAATTCTTTAAAAATAAACAGTATTTTAAAGAGATTTTACTAATTGATTTATTTGAACGTTAGAAGTTGGGAGAATTGCAGCTAAGGTTCCAAACTTTTAAATTTATCACATATTATACCAAAACCTTTCAATTTTTTACCCACAATCCCAAACATTTCTTCTCGATTGCAGTTGGAGGACAAATAAATGGAATCCGTCCATTCCTCCGATAGTCAATCCAAAAAAGTCAATTTGACCAAATTTTGATTAATCTTAAAAAATCAAAATTGCATATTTATATTTCTCCAATAAAATAATAAAAAAACAAAAAATAAATAAAATGAAATTATAAACTATTCATTTTCCCAAAGCGCCCGCACCCCAAACACCAAAAACAATTGTGTACAAGAAAAACTTTGATGGTGGTTGCACCATGTTGGCCTTACCTCGTTGGGTAAGGATGGGCCACCCGATGAGGTGGTGACTCTCCATTCGACGGTTGCACCACGTAAAACGGTACGACCACCCCCACCGAAATTTTTCTCATTGTCTACGGGGGCAAAATTAATAGCCCACTCGCCCACCACCATTGTCACATAACATCGTTAGCGCTAGCACAAGAACCCCACTCCATTCCTGCCCAACCAACTCTTCATTTCCACCGTCACTTGTCATGTGTTTACCCACCTATTGCTCTTCATCATTGATTCTGAGAGCTGGTAGAATCCACACTGTCTACTGTACTCCTTTATTTTCATCTATTGTTGCTTCTAGAACCTCTGAAAGTAGGATTCTATTCGTTTTTCTTCTTTCTCAAGCTTGCATTTTCGATCAAGGTGCTTTTCGTCGTTGCTCCGATCATCTACTCTCAAGTGGATTGACTGGAGATCGTCTGCCAGTCTTAGAGCTCAAATCGGAACCGTTTCTCCTCTCCTTGAACGCTTAGGGCGCAAGACCTCAACCATGGGTATAATTTGCTTCATTTTCTAATTGAATTATGATTGTTAATTATTGAATTATAATCTGTTTTCTTTTCTACTATTTGAGTTTGATGGAGTTCTGGCACTTGAAAATTTTCCATTGGTTGCACTATTAGCAATGGATTTCGTTACTTCAACAATAGAAAAGTCGTTCTTCAAGTCAATATTTTTTTGTAGGGTAATTAGCACAAAACGTCCCTACCTTTTGATTTTTTTTGTGGAAAACGTCATTACCTTTCGTTTTTTGACGGATTACACTCTCACCTTTACCTTTTTTTGCGCAAAACGTCCTTCTGTCAACTCTCCACTAAAATGTTTCGTTAAATCAAAAGGTAATTAATACAAAAGGTTCATACCTTTCAATATTATTATGCAAAACGTCCTTACCTTTTATTTTTTGGCATAATTAGCACAAAAGGTCCATACCTTTCAATGTTATTGTGAAAAACGTCCATACCTTTCATTTTTTAGTATTTTCACCTCTACCTTTCACCTTTCATTGTGAAAAATGTCCTTCTCATCTATTTTTTCAATAAAATGACGATTTTACCCTCCTATTCAAATAAAACAAAAAGAAAAGATGAATAATCAACTGTAATCATAGTCCTTAAATTTTTAAAAAATTACAAAGAAATCATAAATTCCTAACCACCACCACTTTCACAACCTATCAAGCTGCCAACTATAAATCAACATAATACCACCTTTCTGCAACCATTCTCACCAGACTTTGCCACCGTAAATGTGGTTGTTTTGGACAGATTGGTAACCAATACTATGGAGGAGGATATTGGGAAGAGTGAGATGAGGCTGGTGGTCGTGGAGTCCAATAGGTGTTGTAGCCGAAAGGTAGTGCTATATGGATCTATAGGTGGTGGCTTGGTGAGGTTATGAAAGTGGCGATAGTGGAAATTTTAGAATTTATCTGTAATGTTTTGAAAGATTTAGGACTATGATTACAATTAATTATTTATTTTTCTTTTCTTTTCTTTTTGTTTTATTTGAATATGATGGTAAAATCGTCATTTTATTGAAAAAAAGGATGAGAATGACCTTTTTCGTAATGAAAGGTGAAAGGTAGGGTGAAAATGCTAAAAAATGAAAGGTATGGACGTTTTGCACAATAATATTGAAAGGTAGAGACATTTTGTGCTAATTATGCCAAAAAATGAAAGGTAGGGATATTTTGCACAATAATATTGAAAGGTAGGGAGTTTTGTGCTAATTACCTTTTGATTTAACGGAACATTTTAACGGAGAGTTGACAGAAGGACGTTTTGCGCAAAAAAAAAGGTAAAGATGAGGGTGTAATCCGCCAAAAAACGAAATGTATGGACGTTTTTCACAAAAAACATCGAAAAGTAGGGACGTTTTGTGCTAATTACCCTTTTTCGTAGTACAAGTTTCACCTTGGCTCGGTAGCTGTATTTTTATCTTTGTAATTTTTACTCTTTCATTGTAATTATTGTGACGAGGCAAGGTCGGAAGGTATTAAGGATTTATTCAATTCTGTCCATTTCTTGAGTGTTCTCACCTAAATTTGGCCATTGTAGGGTTTATATGCACAGATTGAAGGTGACAGACAGAGAATGATTTCTTCTCTATGTCATTTGTAATCAAATAACGTATCTTATCGTTATGATTGTCAAAATGATGAAAATTATTGTAATTTAAAATTTCACCTCTTTCACGATCTTAAAAGTAAAAAAGAGTGTTTAGAGTAAAGGAGAAGGATACAAGATAAAGAAAAGAAAAAGCGAGTTTCAATAATTGATGTTGACCTTCTCTCGGACTAGATAACGATCATATTACATAATAAAAATTAATCAATTACACAGTAATGTTAAGTAGATCCAAATTATTTAAAAATTTCGACCTCCTAAGAAGTAAATATTAGACCAATTAATAATGTTATTCGGTTTCATAGATTCTTACTTCCAGTTTATGTAACATTAAAACTCATATTACTTAATACATAAAATTAAAAGACAATATCTTATCATCAACATTAACATAAGGGCATGTTCAGTGATGATTACGAGAATTGATTTTTTGACCGTTAGATAAAAAAACGAGTCCCATTGTGAGTGAAGAAGTAAAAAATGACAGATAGAATAGTGAAATAATGGTAAAAAAATTAATTTTTGGGAGGTGAAAAATTATTACCAAATGGGGCAAAGTAAGATTGAATAGCATTATTCGAAACCAAAATATATACTTTAGAAATTTTAAAAACACCCTGAGGTTTATTATATTTGTAATTATCAAGATTTGAAGAGTTAGACAAGCAATTATTCAATACTAATTAAATTACTTATATAAACTACACTAGACAGTAGATTTGATTGATAAACATTTTTTCGACTTCACAGCTTAAAATTAGAGGAACTGTACCAAAAATACAAACCACACAGCCATCCCTCTCTTTCAAATGACTCTCCGGTCACGTTTTCTTGGCGGCGTAAATTCGCCACTATTGCCTGCGCCGTCTTCCCCCCCGCCGGGGAAGGAGTCTACTCCGCTAGACAACCAACCCCTCGACTCAGATTTTATAGTGATACTCGCGGCGCTCCTCTGCGCGCTAATCTGCGTTCTGGGACTTGTCACTGTTGCACGCTGCGCTTGGATCCGCCGCATTTCCGGTAGAAACGCCGCCGTTCCGCAGTCATCTCAGGCGGCGGCCAACAAAGGCCTGAAGAAGAAGGTCCTGGAATCGCTCCCGAAGCTGACCTATGCCGCCAACGATGACAAGAGCGGGAAGTTATCCGACTGCGCAATTTGTTTGTCGGAGTTCGCCGCCGGAGACGAGGTTCGAATGCTTCCTCCGTGCGACCATGGATTCCACGTTGCTTGCATTGACACGTGGCTTGAATCTCACTCCTCCTGCCCCTCTTGCCGCAAAATTTTGGTGATGTCACGGTGTCAGAAGTGCGGCGGCTTGCCAGAGGCCGGGTCTTCCTCCTCCTCCGCCCCTGCCAATCGTTCCGGAGCTGAGTCTGAGCCAAGCTGCAGGCGAAGAGAAGATCTCATCAACAGGTTTTTGCCTTAAATTAATATAATTAGTTCAGTCCCCATGTATAAATTAATTTCAAGTTGGGGTTCTAATAGTGAAAAGATTACTAATCAGGATCAGCAGAAGAAGAAAATTCAGTTGTTATTTCTGTATGTATGTTGTAGTGTGTGAAGAAATACCCATTACATTTTCTTTAATACTTCCATTACCCTTCCTTTAACCCTTTGTAATTACACCCGAAAATATAATTTCGTAAATTCCTTTTCTTCTATGGATCACAAATCGACCAGAAAACCAAACCAATAGAACTCATTAGCTGCTATTTTAACATTTTGCTATTTAAGATATCAACCATGTTTAATTGAGGAACCTTTTTTTCCCCAGAATTATTACGTCTTTTTTCTTGAATTTTTTTGTTGTAGTATTATAAGAATGAATGGTAGCGGTCGGGGATAAAGAAGGAGAATAATAGTAATTGTTGTCTTTAGAATTGGAAGGCTCTGTATCTGTTGAATTATTTGGGCAATGGTCGCAGCGTTTGATTTAAAAGATAATTTGTCAGGAGTTGTATCCCTTCTTCTATAAACTGTGTACCTTTTTTTTTTCACGAAACAGTTCCATCATTTATTCAAAGTTACAACCTTTGCGAATGGCTATATCCCTTGGGTGGATGACCACATCCAAAAGGCTATTTATATTGTCATTCATAAGGCAAGTTTTACACTTTCAAACCTCCTATTCCCTCTATATTTTCCCAAATATATATCTCTTTCTTGTAAACAAATCCCTCCAATGTTCATATAAAAATTCGGTGTTAAAGTCAGAAGTTCTATCTAACTAGTTCGTATGCAATGAGGTGACGCCTCCGTAGGCGCGAAAACCATTCTATCCAGGGAGACAGTTGCTCGTAACCTTGACCATTAGAGGGAGCAAAACTGTCTTAAGAAGACATCGTGAAGTCAATTGGGGTGGGATTTTTAAAATTACTTCATTAAAAAACTGTTTAGTGATTCGATTGATATGCATAATCGTTGTATTATGATATGTTGAAGTAGACAACTTAAAATCGCATGAATTACAATCTTAAGACACGATAACATTTTTACTGCAATATTTCTAGAACTAACCTCGGTAAATTCTAATAACCTAAAAATATCTCATCTCTTCCACAAATTAGAATGCCATTATCACGTGTTTTGTTCATAACTGCATTTTCATTCTTTCTGTTGGAAGTTTCATTTGTAAGATTTAGAATCCAATAGACCCTAGCTGTTTGCGTAAAAGGGTATAAAGCTTGTTTCATTCTTCTGTGGACGACTACTTTGCACGCATTTAAAAATGTAAAATTGATAACTTATTTCAAATGCAAGTTTAGGGCAGCAGATCCTAATATGAATTCATTAACGTGATCAGAAAGCTTTGTGAAAGTATTTTATGGACGCCTTTCTGCATTGAGTTTTGTATCTTTGATTTCCGTATGTTAACTCTATATTTTTTGGTAAATTATATGAAACTCAAGGCAGGTATGTATTATGAATTGCTTTGACGTTGGATGCATTATATTTGTTAAAATACTATCTGCATGGTGCTTGGAGTTGTTTAATGATAATAACAAAATAAAAGAAACTTAGACAGGAGTTGTTTAATGATAATAACAAAATAAAAGAAACTTAGACAGTATATCTATAAACAGTTCATGATGATGTGTTATTAGAAGAGGAATAGTTCATCTCGAATTCTCATAAATAAGTTTTCAAAGAGGATGGTTTAATTTAGGATTATTCTATTTGGACATCAAATGTTACATCAAGGGTTACATATGTACAAGTGGCACTGTGCAATTTATTGGTGGAAATTAAACAATTTTCATGAACCAATTACGTAATGCCACTCGTCCATTATGTAACCTTGATGTAACCCTCAATCTACATGTAGCGAAGCCCATTTAGGATTTATTCATCTGTTTGGGAGTTTTTGAAGTGTACTTTTGGAGGAACATCAAACATGCTTCCATTTGTATTCCTTGTTAAGCCTTCCAAGATAGTGTCTCGGTTGACATTTCTTGTCTGTCAATATGATCGTTTCCATGGAATGTCCGTGATCGGAGGATTGTTAACAGGAGGATCCATGGTTGAATTGGCAGCTGAGAATTAGTGACTCTTTGGTTTCTTGTGCATATTTTTGTGTGAAAGAGACGATGGAAGAGCGGGAGATACATAAGTTGGCAAAGTGGATTCAGCCCAATTTTGAGATCTTGGCTAAATTCCGTGAGTGAATGAATTGGATACCATCTCTTTTCCAGAACATATATACTCCCTCTGTCCTTTTTCGTCAATCCTAAATTGTAGAACTTCATTGTTAATAGTATTATTTATTTTGTTTGTAATATATCTCTACTTAACGTGACTTGTTATCTTATTAATTACTTCTATTTAAACAATTGTCTCAGTTTGTGGTACGGAAGGAGCGAACTATATAGTGGGTTTTCGTGGAAATGTCATGAATCAAATGTCAATGGTTGTGTGTGTTCTTTTTAAATGCATGCGAACCATTTCTATTGGTTGAATCTGTAAACTGAATTCTCCTTTCTTGAATATTATCAGTTCGTTTGGCAAAAAGGGTCTCTGCTGACTCATAACAGCATGTGTACAGAATCTAGACCCCCATTATTTTCTCTGCTGACTCATAACAGCATGTGTACAGAATCTAGACCCCCATTATTTTATTTACAACATTAAGCAAACCTAAATATTTAATTAAGGATTAATAGCGGAAGACCCTTTTCGAAATATTTTCATGTGCGATATACTCCCATACATATTGGAAATTGTGGAAAGCTTTCCTATTTGAAACCTTTCATGCAAAAACCCCCCTGCGTTAACATTCATTAGATTTTTTGTTAAAAACAGTAAAAATGTTAAAATTATAAGGAATAATTGCAATTTCAGTACCCAAACTATTTTTTACAAATTAATTTTAAATACTTTTTGGTGGTCCTGAGTTTATGAGCAAAAACCCAACTCCCAGAACCAACTTTTTTCTCCCCGACAACCTCAAAATAAGAATTTTCCACCAGAATTGGAATCCAATTCATAAAGTACCACTAAAACCTCCTTTCATTATCCTATTTCCATCTAAACTTGTGGGCTGATTGTAAAAGACGGGTTGATTCATACATCCACTTGCAAAACATGGAAATCTTCTTGGATTAAACGGTGATACTTTTTCCCATTTTCAGGACAAAGACTAAATTTTGTGTCATAACGTGACCTTCCAAATTTGCCATGGTTTTGGTGTGTGTGAAACTTGAAACAATGAACCAAAATATATTTCCTTCTGCACTGCATACAGGTCTGGATTGTTCAGTGCTTTTGGATTCAAACCCGGGTATGGCTTCCCAATGCCAAATTTGTTATCTCCCTCAATCACTTTGTGAATCAGAGAATGGTCTTGAAATCAAACCAGGAAAAAATGAAAACAGATATGACAACCAATACCCAAATTTGTAATAAATATGCTTTTAAATTCAAAGAACAAAAATATTTGTCACCATTTTTACTTGAAAGACCAGAGCAATCAGCAGCTCCTGGGCTATAAATTCCAGGTGCTTCTTCACCCACTTCATTGCAGAGTAGCAGAGTATACATTATCTCTTTTTAGGGTACAAATTTCAAGGCAAAACTCTGAAACAAAACACAAGCTGAAGGAGGAGGAGAGAGAGAGAGAGTTGAAAGCAACCAAAAATGGCGTATGAAGTTGAGATTTAGAGAGAGGCTAGAAAGAAAGAAAGTTGGGGAAGAAGGTGGGGTGGGGTGGGGTGGGGGAGAAATTAAAGTTCTAAAAATTTGGGATTGTAGGTGGCACGTATAAGATATTTGGATTTAATTTGTAAAAAGATTAAAAGTCTGGGTATTGAAATTACAATTATTTCTCTTTAATTTTGGCATTTTTAAATGTTTTTATGGAAAATATGAAGGATTTGGCACATATAAGATATTTGGATTTAATTTGTAAAAAGATTGAAAGTTGGGGCATTGAAATTACAATTATTTCTCTTTAATTTTGACATTTTTAAATGTTTTTAATGAAAAATAAGAGGGATTTTGATGATATGGGATTTTTCGAAAAAAAAAAGTTTCAAACGGAGTATATCGCACATGGAAACGTTTATAGGAGATTTTCTGATTTCAATCTTTTAATTAATTATCCAAAACATAAGAATTTCAACTTATGCTGAAAATATATCATAGAAAAATGTTTGTTAAATATTACCATTTATATAATCTTTTGCAGACTAATGAAGTGTTAAAGAAGAAAGTATGAGGAACACTCACGAGTACATGGACGACCAACCCCCCCCCCCCCCCCCCCTTTTTACATAATGCTTTACATACACTCATAATATGGGTGTGGGGATCACATGTTGAGATATTTTATTCATGTGGGATTTACATGCTTGTGAGAGTAGGTAAACCAAATTATGTACATTTAGAATTATCCATCTTTTAATTAATTATCCAAAATATAAGAATTTCAACTTATGCTGAAAATATATCATAGAAAAATGCTTGTTAAATATTACCATTTATATAATCTTTTGCGGACTAATAAAGTGTTAAAGAAGAAAGTATGGGGAACACTCACGAGTACATGGACGACCAACCCCCCCCCCCCCCCACCCACCCTTTTTTTCTCCCATGACATATTGCTTTATGTTCGTATCAATTTTCAATATCTATAACAAATTTTCTTGGTTTTGTCTTTGGTCGAATGTTGATTTTAAATTTTTAAGAGTTTTCTCACTAGTTTTGGACGGTAATGCCACCCAAGCTAACTAATGACAATGATTTTAAATGATAATAATATTAATAAAATAATTCCATAGTGCATTAAAAGATAAAATAGCCAACCCATGTCAATAGTGCTGATTTGAATTTCAAGAAATTCATATTTATTTCACACTATATAATAAAGTCGACCACAACAATAATCTTTAAACAATGATGAACACAGCTAAAATTGACAAACGATACTATAATGTTAAAAGATATTATTAAATACGTTAAGATTAAACTTATGAATATCCAATTCAAACAAGTAGTAACTTCTCTTTTGCAAAAGTTCAAACGTGTGACCTACTAAGATAACATTAATATACCTTAATTAATGCTAATATAAACTATTATAAATATTAAATCCCACTTTAATTATTCCCTCTTAATGGGAGCCAACCAACAAACATATATAAGAGGATCCACTAAACCGCCAACATTGCCCCCATACACTCATACCGCGTTTATTTTACTTGCTAGAGGTAAAGCTTGTTTTCATCTGAAAAATATTCCACAGCTTGATTCAATGTCAATTCCTAACTGCATAGTTGATACCAGATAAAATGGGAAATGATGTTTGTACAGCACCAAAGTATCGTAATTTTTACAGTCCTCTCACAAACGTGGAGTCTGCAATTATTTGGGAAATGATGTTTATACAACACCAACGTGCCGTGATTTTTAAAGCCCTCTCTCGCGGGCCCCACCCCTACATGGGAGAGAGCTTTCAACAATGTTGTACTTGTAGCACTTCTCAAATAAAATAGATTCAAGTAATTTGAAATTTGAAGTATCAGTGTGCAAAAAGGTAAAAACTTATTTTCCATTATATTATATATGCAAAATATGCTAATTCTTAATAGAATTACAATGAAAAACTAATTGTAGAAGTCAAGATTTTACCATCACCCAGATTTTACAGCAGCCTGTTCTGCTCCAACAGCATATGACTCTGTAATAACTTCCAGTGACATGCCCTTGGTTTCTGGAAACCATTGAGTAGATGAAAATCCATGAAATGATGCATACAACAGCATAAATCCCAAAAACACCGCCTAATTCAATCGAGCTAAGCATCACGGGCAGTGTGCAATTAACGAGGGCACAAATGGCAATGCAAATACCACGAACCAAGGCCGGTCCTGTGATTGTCGGGGTCCGAGGAGAATTCCACAAATTAGGCCCAACGAAATCAACGTAAATATAAAATTCAACAATATATTATGCGACCTATTGCTAGTTTAAAACTAGCATTTAAACAATAACCAAACATATTATAAAAAAAATTATATTATAAAATAACAAAACCAAAGATTTAATCATAGAGTTAAGGAACTTGAGTCAAGTGTGGAAGTGCAAATTAAGAAATCGACATAATTGACTAAAGATTTATTATCAACTAAAATTAAACAAAAATATACATATAGATTAAAATACGACTTTCTATTCCTTCTAAAGCAGATTTAGAATGAAAGAATTGTAAAATGTAGTAATATCTCCGCAAAATTTTTGTACAAAAATAAGACGATGATATGGATTTAACAAATACAATCACATAAATATCCATCTTCACAAAGTTTTTGTACAAAAATAAGACAACTACATTAATATTTATAGACATCCATTTATAAAATTCATCAAATTTCATCATTTTCAAGAAAATAAACCCCAAATTTAACCATTTTAGATCTTGTCTTCAATAAATTTACATCAAATCCCACACCATTAGATCTGGATTGTTTTACCTTGTTTTGAAAGGGAAAAAAAAAAAAATTGGGCTGAAATGAGGCCCCTCATGGTCTTGGGTCTGAGGCGAGGGCCTCATTTGCAAGCCTCAGGACTGGCCATGCCACGAACCCGAGTAGGAAAGATTTCAGAGCAGAGGATATTTGGGATTGGTCCATAGCCCACGACAAAGCAACAGAAGTAGATCACAAGCATTGAAGATAATATGAGGCTTGACCGTAAAATTTCCTACTCCCTAGCCCCCAACCCAAACAACATAATAATTAAAAAAAAGAGCGATAGAAATAGAAAATAATGTCATTATATATACGAAACAACATTATATACTTGACAACCATACATTAAATAGTTATTAGACTTGTGTGGTTCATTATAGTTCTAACGATAAAACTTCCAAATTTATAAGCATAACAAAAGCAGAAGCTAGAAATGAGTAATCATAACTATATAGATTCTATCTGCTGCAGTATTTGGATCCCGATTCGAACAATTAATGCACTTCCAATTCCTAGTTCAAGAAGAGCTGTCCAACTATGCCCTTTTGAAGCAGTTTCAGAAGGATGCTCATGCACCAGTGCTGGTCCAACTGGATGCTGATCCATAAGCTTCTCTGAATAAAGAGCAGACTGGCTTACCAGAGCCACTACCTGGATGTACTCCCCATCTACTGGAACATTAGCACCTGAGAGTGATACAAGAGACCCACGTCTAGACCCAAGCCCCTCCTCCTGATGCAGATAAATCCTTTTAAAACCTCCTTCATTCTTTCCCATCTTCACCTTCTCTCTTGGACCATTTCCATGCTAACTGCCAACCACCACCAATTCCCATGCTACTGACTGCTTCTCCTGCATTAATGAGAGTAACATGTCATCTCATG